ATCTCATCCCTACCATACTTAATAGCGGACTTAACATCATTATAAGAGTCGGGAATGGCATTAAGTAATACTATGGGAGTGTAATCATCTATGTGTTTATCACCTGCCTGTTTGATATTCTGTATCAGTTTATTAAACACATCCAGGTTCTCATCTATATCCTTAGTCAGGTCAAGCCTAAACCTAAAGAATTTCTCTAGTAAGAACAACTTCCCGGGTAAAGAGGTATCAGTATAGAGACTATCCAATTTCTCCCACAACTCCTTAGCGGACTCAAGAATACCCACTTTCCTAAGCACAGAATCAGACAGATTCAAGTAAATAGTAGAACAAGCAGTTTCGTTCATTTCAATTTGCTTAGCCTTATCTTCTGATTCAAGGAAAATACCAGTGACAGCTCTGAAAACTTTTTGCTGTATTAAAACACACTTTATTTTCTGTTTCCAAATATCAAAATCCGTTTTTCCATTAAATGGAAGCATACCATACTGATTTGCAGCCATGGTATCAACCACAAAGGAACACAAAGCTAAACAGACTGAATTGACAGAAAATAATCCAACCCGGGTTATAAAGTATTCACTTTAATAACCCCGGGCAGCATGCAACACATAGCAAAAAAATGGACATTTTGGCAATTAAACAATTCCGGGCAGAAAAATTAAATTTAATTAATTCTACCCCTACCACCCAATAAACCACCCCCACGCATAACAATTAATTTAAATAACACAAAGCAATTTAATTAATTAACTAAAACAGTCTATCACAAAGGAGAAAGTTTAGAACGTACCTGGGGGGTTGGCGGCCGGGATTAAATCAACCGGCGGCCCGCGGGGAGGGGGAATAAAATTAAATTAAATTAAAACCGGAATGTAACAAATGGGAAGTTTACAGAAAACTTACCTTCGCGAAACCCTAGGAGAGCGTTTCGACCTTACCTACCCAATTTTAAAAATCGGGATTTTTCTGGAGGGGTTGACTGCCGTTGACCGGTGTTGACCAGCGTTGACCGGCGTTGACCGGCGGCGGTTGACCGGCAGTTGACTGCTTCCAGCTCCAGCAGTCCAACACCAATCCAGCGGCCCAGCAGATTGCTCCAGCCCAATAGCCCAGGTCCAAGTCCAACTCCCAGATTTGTCCTTCAGCAGCCAGCAATTCCAGAAGCACCAGCCCACAAGCCCAATAACCCAGAAGCAGTCCAGCCCGTCCACTAGAAGACCAACAGCTCCAGCTCCAGCAACTGCGTATCTTCTACGCAGGGACCTCCGCTCCAGCAACGAACAGAGGACGTCAATCGATGGATATGAACTCCGGTCAGTGGTCGAGATCAACCTCCAGGCGGCGAACGGAGAGTTCCCCGGCGACGACGGCTCTAGCTGGTGAGCGGCGACTAACTTCCAGGTGTGGACGGATCTCCGGGCAACGGTGAGCTTTCGGCGGCGAGCGACGGTTTCACCGAGAAACCTCCGGCGAAAACTGCTCCAGGTGAACGACTTCAGCACCACCGCGGCGGACTCGATCTCCAGGCGGTGGTTCAGCGGCGTTTGTGGTCTCCAGAGTCGATGCCAGGCAGAGAATCACAAAGAACCTCAGTTGAGCTTGATTTCAGCAACCAACGTCGAAAGGACATCGGAGGCAAGACTCCAGGGCGTCGTCTGACCTTCGGCGAGCTCCTAACGGCGGCGGCGGCGGACGGCGGCGGGCGGCGGCAGACGGTGGTTCCAGTCTCTGATACCACTGTAAGGACCGTTTATTCCGTCTCCGGCTCAGGTCTTTCTACACACTACTCACATACACCACACTAGGAGGAGGCTATAACACACCTATCTCTCAACTCTCTTCTTCTAACCACAAAGGAACTCACAAAGAGGAAGAAGGAAGACACTGCTCTCTGGAAGTGTTACTCTCGCAGGCTTAATTCACAAAGGCAAGGAAGAGTGTTGACTTATAGTAGGCTGCCAGCCTATGGGCAGACAACAAGGACAGTCACAAGGTGGTAAGGACACTCACGGGTATAAGCTAAGCCAAAAAACAGGTTGCAGCAGACAGAAGCAATGGGGTAGCAAACCAGGTATATAATTGATCAGGTAATATACCAAGGTAAAGGTGTCAAAGAGGGAGTAAATTAATAGGGTGCAAGCCTCAGCTAATAAAGTGGAAGGGAGGCCTTGGTAGGACCAATACCTCCAACAATTTTAACATTTGCAGCTTCAAACTCTACCCTATCTTAAAAACTCTTGCAATTTATTAGGAACTTAGGACTGCTAATACGTATGCATATGCCTTCAATTTCAGAATATATATTTTTTACAACAATGGATACATGGTCTTGCAGGTATTGAAAAAATGACACATCTTTCTCTATATATTGGACCATCGATCTTTGCAATTTTAAAACTGCAAAACATTAAGATTAGGAGGAAGACAAATAAAGGGTGCTTGACATTTAGTGCAAAGTAAGTTTTATTTGGTTAAGACTGATACAATTGAGCTATATATCCAAAATTGCAATCATCAATGATCGCCAATTCAAGCCAGAAACTGAAGCGAGTACGAGCTGAATAATTCCTCAACTCTAACTAGCTACGAGATATACTTGTACATTTTTATTAAGTATCACCATTTTACAATTATATAGTGATTTTGTAGTCATGAGAATTGATTGATTTATTCGTAAATGGTGTTTTTTGCATTATCCGTTTCACTCATAGATAAATCATACTCCGTACGTCGTATGTTGCATTATACTTCGTACTTTCAAAAGATTAATTTACGTAGCTATAAGAGTTGACCAAAATTCATTATACTTCAATATGCCATGCTTGTGAGAAATATTGGTCATTAGACCAGATCGTTTAATGCTACTCGCATTTGGGTAATTAAACTCCAAATGCATATAATTGGATCTCATGTGATTTCATGATAAAAGGACAAAAGTACATGACTTCGAAAGTTAGTTTTAGTCGATCTCAAGAAGCTACCATTCGAATTTTAGCCTTGACAATTCTAATTATGTGATGGCGATAATCTTTGACAATGGTTGATGCCTTTCTACTTCGTCCAATTTGTACCCATGAGGCCATAAACAAAGTGATACACCGTAGTCTTTTGAGTAATGTCTTTGTAAGAGTTGAGATTTACTACGTATTATAAGGCTGGATTGATCGAGTTTGTAAAGTAAACGTATTCATATATTACTTTTTTAGTATATGGATTTAGTTTAATAAAGTAGAAATAATAGAAAATTCCATGTAAACCTTTTTTCCCTTGATTTATGTTACTTCTATAATTGGATGTATGGGATAACCCTACTAATAAAACGAAGTATTTGTCTATCAATGATTAATAATAAAAAAAAAAGGAAAATGGAAACTAATAATCCAACCTTTTAGCGGTCTTCTTTCAATAATCCCACCTTTTGATTATTCATGAATAATCCAACCTTTGCACCTCATCTTCATTCACTGGTCCCTGACCGGTTGATGACCTGCTATTCCAAGCTATTTTCTTATCTTTGCAAATCATTATACCATAAATCTCATCTTTCACAAAGATAATATTTTGGAAAGATAGGAAAATAACTTGGAATAGTAGGTCATTAACCGACCAGGGACCAATGAATGAAGATGAGGTGCAAAGGTCGGATTATTCATGAATAATCAAAAGGTGGGATTATTGAAAGAAGACCGCTAAAAGGTTGGATTATGAGTTTCCATTTTCCCTAAAAAAAAAATCGAAGAGCTCACCATACATATGTTTTTCTTTTTAAAAACGAATATACAAAAATCATTCAAATTTGATAGTGTTTATACTCCTAATATAAACTAATCAAGATGGCTTAAGTGTTGTTTATAAGCGACTTTATCATTCTTGAAACTGATTCAACACGAAATAGTAAAAAAATGTATGAAAATGTATGAACACTCCACTTTAAGGTGGAAACCCGAAAGAGAGAAAATCGATCACATAACTTTTCGAACTAATGTCTAAGTCACTCTCTTTTTGCATTGTACAAGTATCAAGCTTTAGAAGCCACTAATGGAGGTGGAGCTATCTAGAGAGAAGGATAGCGGAGAAGAAGAGAGGGTTCCCTCAAATATGGAGGAAACCTCCTATTTATAGAAAAAAGGGGAGGGATGCAAAAGCTACTCTAATTGACCGAAAGGGCCAAATACACCGAAATGGAGCTCACTAATAGAGCTTCGTACTAGGGCAATGTGTTAGGCTTTCAGAAAAGTAGTAGACTGGGATAACATTTTCCAACGACTATAACTCATACTATCTAGTTTCTATCTTTATCATAACATTTCTTTATTGCTTTGAATAATTTAATTTAATGCTTGAAACTGTATCTTGTGCAACGCACAAGTGAAAAATCTAGTTTATTGTAAAGGATTGATAAACTTGCATCCAATAGCTTAATCTTTCCTCTCTACTCTTTCAATAACTTTCAACTTACACTAGAAATTAGAGACTCGAGCTCCTCAAAACATGCAAGTATAGAACGGTTGCAACGTACACACACTTATTAGGCAGACCAAAACACACATCGAATATTGTTAACGCAAACAAATACGGAGTACTATCAAATTCAAGTGCTGAGGTTACAGTTTACAAACGACTCCTCATCATATTCAAAAGGACCGTAGAACAACTATTGGACATAACTTGCATATTTCTCTGTGCTTTTACTTTTGCTTGGACCCTAATCTGTACACAGTTTATTCAATTTTTTTTTCAAACTACAACTGCTTTAGTGCTTTTAGCGCTTATCAAATTCTTTTAAATAAAATGTTCGTATGATCTGTTTCCATTCCAAGTAAAGATATATAATCACATATTTGCATCTTATTAAAATTGGTGCGAAGTGTAATAATAATAAAAATAAAGAATGGTTTTTGCATTAAAGCACAACATCTGAAAGTGTAATTGGGCCATCAACTTTACATAAACAAAGCATGAAATTATTTAGTGAAATTCATTTAGAAAGTACTAACCCCCTCTTCCACTCTATGGTGTTTCGGTTCTGGCCTTAAGAAGAAGAATCGGAAAATCTCGGATCCGTCTTTTCTTGCCGCGTAGTTGGCGGCTGCTTGATAATTTGCCTCTTTTCCCGAAGCCACGTCTCTAACCACCATGGTTATGAAAAGAACATAGCAATTTGTGTTGGCTCGAATAACCCGTACCAGTTCCAGCTCTGGACTCTGCATTGCATAAATTGCAAAAGGCATCAATTGTAGTCTCAATCGGTATTTGGTAACTAATAATATATAACATGTGAAAAGAACATATAACCTCGGGGTTCTGGGTTTTGTGCATCTTTATTGCACGACGAGCTGCCTCATAAACATCAGCTTTGAGGGTTGCATCATTCTCAATGTCCATAGCCTCAATCCCACCAATGATAGCAACGCCCTCCGGCCATAAACTCATGTCCACATGAAAACCCTATGATTGATTCAACAAACAATCCGGCATCAAATTCTAAGAATGAAAGTGTGGAACAATGTTCGAAATTATGCGTGTGTGTATATGTATCTTAATTTGTAGGGCGATTGTGTAATTTGTATCGTGTATACGATTCTATTTCGCAATTCTATCGTGTAATTTGGATATATGTAATACTTACATGATACTTTTGAACGTGATCCTGGTAAGCATAATATTTATCCATTTGCTCTTTCGTCGGGGTCGGCCCAATAAAACCATCGCTTTCCTCGTCTTCTGTCTTAGCCCTCTTCGGAAGTGGTGAACCATCGTCCTCCTCAGAACTCTCCTCCTCCTCTACCGCCTCCGCGGCCTCATCCTCCAACCCTAAATCGAAATGAATCGGACACATACCCATGATTAGCATCTTCAGCGCCCTTGATCTGTTCAATCTCTATTCTGAAGCTTCTTGTCTGGTTTGGTAAACAATGTACATATCGTATGCCCATTAAACCTCAAATTATGGGCATACATTATTATGGGCTAGGGCTTATTTAAAACAAACCAGGCTACTCAGTTTTTTTAAATAAATCTGCTTGGGGCTGCTTCCAATATCAAGGAAAGGGTAATTCTATATACAGCCCCTTTCTACTAAACACAATCACTAAATTAAATAAGAATAATTAAAATAAATCAATTATCTAATTTACCCTTACCGACCTAACGATCGTTTAAACGCAGCCCCCTTGTTATTCGACTCAAGCGTTAAACGCAGCCCCCTGTTACTCGACTCAGCCTGCTGGGAAGCGCAAGGCTCAAACACAAAAAAACGTAGACTTGGGATTTTTATGAGGAGCAGAAGATTTGATCCAAGATAACTACTCAGTAAAAGGAAAGAAACTTTCTTTGGGTCAGCTCCTGGGATTTCAGGTTGTTTTACTCTCTTTCAAGTAGACTTCTCAACCAGTTCTGCTCGTGCTAGTGCCCCATAATTTCTTCGATTTCTTGCAATATTAGATTGAATGCCATAAATATTATTTGTATTTTACTTTTTATTGGTAATGTTGAGGAATTTGCATGGATAGGATCACATTCAGTAAGCATAAATTCATTTCCTATTGCATGATTTCATCCAGATTGCCTGATTACATAGTTCATACTGATGAATATTAAAAAAAAAAAAAAGGTAAAACGTGTGCAAGCACTTGAGCAAAACTACTAGCAATAGATTGACAGAATGTAATTATACATTATACATTTGAATAAAAGTAAGTAACCTAGTGTATTTGAACAAACCTAGTATTGTTAAATATAAAGATCATGTAATTTGACATTGTATGCCTTAAAAGGTCAACTTAATCTAGATTTTTTATTCTAGCCACTTCTTATTCCTATGAATGTTGTTTGGAAATTTCTGTTGGAATAAATCCGATAATACTTTAATCTTCATATTGGAATTATCTAGAGAATTAACTGAGCGGAAGCGTACCTGACTCCATAGGAGATGATCTTTGGAGATCCGGGAGACGGAGGCTAGGGTTTGCGTTTTCTAGTTGATACACACCCTCGTGAATTATCTCTCTAGCGATGGGATGCAGAAAGACGGAATGACTTGTTCAACTAGGGACCATAACCCCTCTATTTATAGAGAATGCTTCACCCTAATCAGCCCATCATTAATTAGGTTAAGCTCATGGGTTTCTACACATCTGGGCCCTATACTTTATTAGATAACTTATTAGCCCACTTAAATTAATATCCATAAGACCACTAATTTTTGGGCCTAAATTAAGATAGCATATAACATACAATTAAACCAAATAAATAATATATTGTGAATATTATATGTAGTATAAGTCCAATAATCTAACAATCTCCCATTTGGACGACATACACATATATATACACAATCCTTAGTATTGTATGTTTAGTTTAGGAGCTCCAAAATTTTGCTATCAAACTGTAGTCATCTTTAACCAATCCGGTCCATTAATTATATCAACATAGTGTTAGACAATAATATCTTTGTAAATATTTGTGTAATCATAATATTCTAATTAAGGATATAATAGATTGTAATGTAAATTGGTATTTACTTTCCTAGTTTCCTAGCCTTAGATTCAGCTTGTACACCATGTATATTAACGCTATGAATGAATGAGAAGCACACGGATTAATCTCTAATATGGTATCAGATTTCTAAGGTTCTTTTCTCTTCCTGGAAACCCTATTTTTTTTTCTTCCGCAACCTTGTTCTGAACTTTCCCCTGTTCTTCTACCATGTCGGAAAAATTCCACCCAGCCCTCTCGATTACCAACGTCAAATCCGTCATCCCAATCGCGTTGGATAATGAGACTGGCCAGTATCATTCCTGGGTTGCACTTTTCAAGGTTCAATTACGGGTGCACAATCTCCTTGACCACATCTCTCCACCAACGGATGCAACAGCCAAGGTCGTCTACGAGCAGGAGAAAGCTGCGGACCCTGCTCTTTGGAAACGTCTCGATGTAGCGATCCTTTAATGGATCTATGCCACCATATTCTCTAATCTTCTTCATGCCATCCTTGAAACTCTATTTCGTGACAATAAAGGCTCTCGTGCTACTCACCTTGAAGAGGAATTGGCTGGTGCTAATTTCGAGAATTTCTCCAGTATTAATGCCTATTGCAACCATGTCAAAACATTGGGCGATAGACTGGCCGACGTGGATGCTGAAGTGCCCAATAGTCGCATTGTTCTCAAACTTATCGGAGGACTGCCAACTTCGTACTCTGGTGCGATTGATTACATTCAGAATCAAGACCCCTTACCTCTGTTTGAGAAGTGTCGATCTCGTCTCAAACTTAGCGAACGAACCATAAAAAATGTTGTCGCTAAAGAAAGTGGTGGTGCGGCTGCTCTTGTCACCACCACGAATAGGTCACCTTCTCCTCCTCCTACCGATGGCCAACGTAACCTTCATGGTCATTCAATCACCAACAGAGACAAGACTAGGAAAAAGACCCCTAAAGGTGGCTATGGACCAAACCATCGCTCTCGTAATGGTGGCTCCAGCGGTGGTCATTCGGGCAGCAATGGCGGTTACAACCCTCAGCAGCTTTGGAGTGCGCCTCCTGTTCCCGGCCCCTGGGCACCGTGGCAGCAACCTTGGGGCGCTCCATGGCCAGCTCCTCCATGTCCCTACCCATCTAGTAATATGCAATTCCACCCACCTTCTGTTCAACGAGCCTCTGGAATACTTGGCCCCAGACCACAACAGGCTTATGCAACCTCTTATGCACCATCCACTCTTGGCTACAACCCGACGGACATCGAGGCAGCCATGCACACCATGACTCTTTCTCAACCTGATGTCAACTACTACATGGACACGGGCGCGACGTCTCATATGACGGCGGATCAAGGTATATTTTCTTCCTATTTTAATTCGGGCCGGTTCCCGGGCCGGGTGTCCCGAACCGGGTCCAATTTGTAGAGAGTTTCCACCTTCTTTCTTGGAAGTTGCCAAGAGGCATCTCACACCTTCTAGGAAGGAGCACTACTAGAAATATGCCTTATAGTGACACCAAATTAGCGTCACTAAAAGTTTCTGTGACACTAAAAAAGTGTCGCTGAAGGTGGGGGCTAGTGACACTTTGTTAATGTCACTAAATTATGACACTTTAGTATCACCAAATTATGACACTACAATATCACAAAATTCAATGACACTACGGTATCATTAAACTCAGTGATACTATGTTATCACAAAACTCAGTGACACTACAGTATCGCAAAACTCAATGACATGCTAGTACTAGGAAAACATGATACGTTAATTATAATATATACAATTAATATTGATAAATAACAAAAATTTCAAACATTTTTATTTATTATCTCAAATTCTCACATAAATGTGAATGTATATACTACATAATTCATAGGGGCATACCCCGAAATAATAAGTACTATGAATTAATTAAACAAGAACAAAATGCAACCTAGAATAAAACCACATGTGCTACGAGAAGAAGCCTTGAACATTTAGCATCATTGCTGAACTTGGCATAAAAACTGTGAACGATGCCACAACTCTTTTTGGCTTGAAAATTGCACCAGTAAATCAAGCTAGTTGATTGGGCTTTGCTTTCTGAAAAGACCAAATTGTTGCTTGTGCGAGAAATTCAGTGCTGAAGCATGATGAAGGGGACCAGTAAGAGAGCAAAATGAAAAACATAGTTATTGAGATGATAAACTAAAGGAGAACAATTTAAGATGTGTTCCAGTTCTAATAAACTCAAAGAGAACAATTCATGGAGAATGAAAAATCATATCTAATTTTGCCAAAACAGAACAATAAAAATGTGTTCCAGTTCTATTAAACACAAGGAGAACAACCCGTGGAGAATGAAAAATCATAGCTAATTTTGCGAAAACAGAACAATAAAAAATACCTATCATCGAGAAGCTTTAACCAATACCTGCATTTCTATCATCACCACCCACAACTTCTTGACTTTTTTCATCATAATCAAAGTAGACACTCTTAAAAGTCCATTTTTTCTGGGAACTATGTTATTAAATCTATTCCCAAAATAGAAGAAACAATGAATTTGATCAAAATATGAAACTGAACTAAATCTAGATAAAGTTATGACAGGGGAAAAATTAAAAACAATTAGCTAACGAGCATAGAGCATATGAAATTAAAAGTAAAAAAGGTTTGATTTTTATTGTAATTAGTTTTGCAGGACTGTGCCGTCATTACTTGTAGCAAAAAATTTGAAATAATAGAAATACTTTGTGGTCATTATTTTATATTAGTATTTGAGAAAAGTAACTTAGTATTTAACTAAAAAGTAACTTAGTCATCAATATACTTAGCACTTTTGAAGGAACTATGGCAGCTGCCGTCATTTTTTTACTCAATTACAACACCTAAAGAATAATAATATAATAATAATAATAGTAGTAATAGTAATAATATAGCTATGTTAAAGGAATTTGGGAGCACCTGGAAGTATTAATGTGTTCAAGAAAATAAAAAGAATGCACACATTCCTAGATCAAAGCAGGGAAGATGCTTGTTAGCTCAATTAGAGAAGAGCATAGTAATACAGCTATGTTTCCATTCAAAGACTAATAATAATAATAAAGCTTTAAAACTTATTTTGAGAACCTTTTTTTAAGACTTTAATCAATAAAAATCATAAAGAACAATAAATGCATTGAACAATGTAGTCATGAAGATGGAACATGATGAACAACGTCCACTTTTGATTCCAAGAAACAAACGTACTTATCAAGTAGGGATATGAGAACTTCAAGCGTAATTACATGCTGCTCTATAACATCAATCTGGTGCACATACTCTATCAAAGCTACCACCTTTTGGAATTAAGCAGCTCAACAAAAACTCTTGAGCTGTAAATAAACTGTGTCACTTATTAGAAATGCTGGAGAGCAAACTAAGATATAGAGCAAACCATCAAAGCTTTTTTAGGCAACAGAAATAACTACAAAAATAGAAATTGAATTATTGGTGATAAAACCTCAAGCAATAGAAAATTATACTTGTAAT